AGGTTGTTCAGGTATCTCTTAGCTGTTATAACACAATTACATAAGCATCACGCAAGCATAAGCCTTGAAAAAGTATTCACATCTTCTGGCTAGCTGTCTCATGTTGGATTGGCATGCACAGTTTACCACAAGTACTTGGAACACAAGTCAGGGAAAGCCGGATGCTTGAGGCTGAAAAAGTTTACCACTATACATTTTAGCCTGGAAGTTACCAGTGTGATAAGATATGTTTTCAATTTTATATCTCTGAAAGCCTGCACTTGTGAAATACAAATACATTTAATGTATCATGAGGTTAGTAATAGGCACCATCACAGCTGTATAGAAATCTTTGCATATATTTACTTAGTTTTTTACCCTCACGGCAAACATTAGACTCCTTTAACAGGTTTTACAGGGTGTAACTATACTGATAAGAATTAAAGTCATCTTTAGGGCTCTCACAAGTCTAGGAAAGAGTGCTAATGACCAAGAGTAGAGTTGTTACCCAACATACAAGTATATTTTGTTTATATAACAACAAAATATTTATTAAATTAAAGCCAACGGATATAGATGAAGGTTTAAATGGCAGAACCAAATCTAAACAGATGCCAACTTTTGATCATTTTTATGTCTAAGTTCTAGATGTATACTGCATAAAAGAGAGCACCTATTAGTCACTTTGCACATACTAAACTTACGTAGTCTTAACTCTATAATGTTAAACTTTAAAGCTTAGACCTATGGCATAGCTTGTCTTTAGATATATCTCTAGCCTCAGATTTATAGGTTGTGTTATAAATTAAGCTAATTGTTATTCATTTAACCAATGATAAATTGATTATTGAAAATTTTACAAGCCACCACTCTTGGGGACCACAATTCCACAATGGCTAGTTTTACATACTGTCTTAAGGGGTGAACAGAGGCTTGAGATTTCTGGTATCACTCTTGTGAGATTTCCCATTATCCCATTAGGGGTGGGCTATCCTCTTCCACCTACCAAGACCGAGACTGAGACCGAGACCGAGACTGAGACCGAGACTATGACTAAGGCTAAGACCATTAAAACTAAGACTGCTGAGGCTAGAGATGTCCAGGGCAAAATCCTCATTAGCTTCAGATTAGCACCGCCTCTGAGGTGATCCGATAATCCCCTTCTCAATGAATAAATGCCAAGTTTGTGTCTGCCTCATGGCCTCTTGTTCCCTGTGAACAACTGGTCATCCCAGACGCCCCTTACCGCCATTTTGTCTCTTGCTCTTTCTTCCCGCCATGAGCAGTAACACCTGGCAGGAGATTGGAGGCTCACTGTAAGGGGCCCCATACATCACTTACATGATCTTTAACAGTCAAAGCTCAGTTTTTAGTAACCAAAACCCTAACAGTGGAAAACACAAGAAACTCTCTTAATGAAATATAGAAACTTTGCTTTTTTAATCTACTTTTAAAAGTTAGCCAAGAGCATTTAATATCTTAAGAAAACCTTGTTTTAGACATAGAAAGCTTAACCTTTTAATTATAGTCAACCAGAATATATTATAATAATTTATTTAATAGTGTTTGTTGGGGTATGCTACCATAAGCCTCTGGGAAAAAAACAGAGAAGTCCTATCAGTAGCTGCGTGCTTGTCTTGCATGTTCAAGGAACAAGGATCGATTCCCAGAGTCCCTGCCCCTAATATCTTGGCTTAGGTTAGCACTGACATTTATTTAGTGAATAATTTAAGGCAAGTTACTCAATCTCCCTGAGCCTCAGTTTTCTCTTCCTGGGCAAGGTAATTTTCCAGATCTTTCCTGTTCATCAGAGACCATCCTCGGTCAGGAATCAAATCTTCATTTAGTTATCTGTCTAACACTGAGCTCTTGCTGGACTTTGGATAGAAAGCTTGAGTTTCATGAAGCCAGAGAAAGTCAAATTATATCTAATTCCTGCCCCTACTAATGTTTTCCAAAATGCTATAGATACTTACTTTATAGTATGGCTGAAATGTAGGATACATTAGTAGAAAAAAAGAAAATTAAACCTGGTTAGGTCTGATGACATTATACAGAGAAAGCTAAGCTTATAGTGTGGGTTTTATCCTCTGGGCAACAGGCAGCTATGGAAAGCTTTTGAGTGGGAGGGTACCATGACTGGATCCACACCACAATAATAATAAAAATGGTGATAGTACAACTGAGCTGACTATGGGAAAACTTGAGCTCTTCCTTTGTACCAAGAACTACATGTTTCACTTCCAATATAGCACTTAGTCTTGACCATGACCCTTTGAGCTTTGAATATTGGTTAATTGGCCACATGCTGGATGGATTGAAGGGAAGAGTGGTGGAGTCTTTTGCGACTTGATCAGGGCCTCATTTAAGGGAGGACCGTGAATATGAACTGAACACCTCCAAAGACAGAGCACATATTTATCAATTCAGTTGGTTAGCCAGATACCTCCTCAACTTAGTAAAATGTCCGACTAAACCAGTTTAATCCCTTTTGGATGTCAGTAGCTTATACAGAAAGAGTCTCACTAGGACTCTTTAAAATAGGAGCAGTGATGTGACTCACCGGCAGCTGGGTCACAGTGTTCCCTGAGAGGACACACTGGGAAGATGCTGTGAAAGGAGCTTTGCAGGGAATAGCGCCTGAAGTAGCTGACTTGGGACAACTCTGTCTTGGCTATGCTGTCCTGACACGAGACTTCCTGTTCTCTTCAGCTGAAAGTCCCTCTGGGACCATCCTGGGAACTGTGGCTGGCCACTGGCCATGTGGTGTATCTTCTACCATTTTACCTCTTCGTCGCCATTTCTTCCCTTCCTTAAATTGGAAACAGCCACAACACAGAAGCTGTCTCTGCACAGGCTTATTGAATTAGTCTGTTTCTTGTTGCATTTCATCTCTGTGAAGACAAGAGGTTGATTTCTCTCAGTTTTGGAGACTCAAGGGTCTGGCTGAGCTCTGGTGAGGGCCCTGTTGACTGGGTCACATCATGGCAGATCACATCATGGTGAGAGCGCATGTGGGAGCAGGGATCTCATCTTGAGAGAGAAAGCATGCAGGCTGGAGTCCTGGAGTCCTTTGCCAAGGGTTTTGCTCTAGGTCCCATCTCTTAACATCACCACACTGGGTAACAAGCTCCCAACACATGAGAGTTGGGGACGAATTCAAACCATATCCAAACAACTGCACTTACCAATTACCGAGCTTGCCAAAATGAGTCCCCCGAGAGCTCTGTGTCTCCTCCTTCTCCATCTCCACTGCCGCCATGATCTAGGGCACCGTTTTTGCTCCTACTCCCGTGATACCAGCACCTGATGGTCTGCCTGCCACTCATCTGGCCTCTCCGACCTGTTCCTCGCATTGCATCTGGAATCCATTTCCAGCGCTCGAATCTGGCATGCCAGCCCCTTGCTCCAGGACCCAACGTGCTGTATAGAATTTGCGCATGAATCCAAATTACTGTTGAAGTGACTATTCTCGGGCTTATAAATTTAATGAACAATTATTACAAATGAAATATAAGTTGTTGAAAAGAAATGGGGTCATTTACTGGTCTTTTGCAGTGTCAGACTGAGGATATGATTCCCTGGAAAAGTCTGAGAGAGCTTGATGCTTTGGGAACCTGAAGAGGGGACATTGGGGGCAATCTCAACTACAGGTGGTACAACAGGTCCTACCCCTCTACCCAGCCACCATCTTTGAGTGCACAAGTGGACAGGAGGCATCGTTTGGGTCTGGATGTGAGAAGAGGAGGGGAATGACAGTATTGTTACGGCAAAATTTGGGGTGTATTCCACAAGAGACCAAAGAACTTTATGAGAACAGACTAAGTTTTAATTTAGACCGGTCATCTCTCATTTCGATTTGCAAGTCAGGGAAGTGGGCATGGGCCTGCCTTTGTTCCCACCTTAAATACATTTTTGGTTTCCATGGTAACAGATTGGAATGTTGTAGCCCTGGCCACATGTTCTTTTCCTTGTGCCACATAACCGGGTCAGGCTCTGGTCATGAGCCCAACCACAGTGATATATACTATCTGTTCTCTGTTCTGTATGTCCCCCTTTAGATAACCATACATTTCCTTTATGGATGTTTCTCAAGACACATTTTCAGACTTGCACTAAGACTGGAATTATCCTATATTAAAATGATATGCTAAGAGTCGCCATCCCCTACAGTATGGAGACCCCAGGACAATATTTTTTAAAAACTTGTTTTGAAAAAAAAAAAACCTGGAGAGGTCATTCATGCCTGCAATTTGCTGTGAAATGAGATAAAAGAATGAGATAAATTCACACCTAACAGGAGAGACCAAGAGATGGGCAGGTAGGTAGGAAGCAAAGTCCAAGCATGGTGAGATGGCATCAGGCTGGTGGCTGAGGGTTAGCATGTGCTGCAAACACTTCAACTTTCTGGTGTTTGGCATTTTTCAAAATAACATGTTAAGGTGAAAAATGACACAGAAGAGAGGAGCCATGTGAAATTCGGAACTGAAGGTCATAAGACTGTGGGGGGAAGGAAGCTGGGAGGAGGCCAGGCAGGGCGGGTGACACCACCCACAGGGCAGAGAAGCCCCCTGCATTGCAAAAATGTGAGGTTCTCTTGTGTGATATGGAGGCTCAGAACCTATGTCCTTAAAGGACTGGGCCAGCTCTGGAGCTGGACAGACACAACTCACCTCTCGGTCTTGTTGGTGTGTGACAATGGGACAAGTGCTTCGCCTCTCTCAGCATTGCTTCCTCGTCAAAGAAGGAGGGTGAGGACCGAGGCAAGAAAGGAAAACAGGCCCTGCCCACCCTCTCTTCTTCCAGAGCAGCTTCCTATTTGCCAGCTGTGTGGATGGGGATCCATATAACTTCTTTTTTAATTTAAATAAACCTCCCAGTGCTTAGGAAAGAGGATGCTTCTGAGCACCACAACCCAACCCTCAGCCTCCCTCCACTGCACCCCAGCTGGTCCCGGGACAGGAACTTATTAAGGTCTCCACTCCGGGGCTGCGTGGTCACACAATGAATTCAAGCCAAAGTGCCTCCTTCAAAAATAGTTTATTCTGCACATTTCCTGGCAGGCTGTCTGCCCACCATTCCAGGGGAACAGCTCTTTGTTGCCTTGTTTTTCCTCCAAAGCGAAGGGGGTCTTCCCAAAAGGAACCCCTCTGTTCCGACGCAGCATCAGTCCCCATGCACTCCGGCCCCTGGGCGGGACACAGGAGCATTCAGCTTTCTCTCCCCACTGTCATTTGCCAGAGCCGTCATTGGCTGATGGCCAGACTGGACATCCTCAAGCATCCTGGCTGGTGGAGGCTTCCCCGGGCAGCCTTGTTGGTGGCCCCCTCGCCTGGGATAATGATCAGTGTCCTCAGACAAACTGCCCACCACAGCACTGGGTGGTGTCAACTTCCCCGAGCCCCATCACTGACAAGATGGGGGGACCAGAGTGCCTGAGATCCTGGATACTGCGTATTGCAAAGTCCTCCCTGAGCACACCGGTGTGGCCTTTAGAGTCCAGTCCAGGTCACCCTGGCTCCACCCCTCAGTGCTGGATCCTACCAAGGCAATAGGTGAGGAAGTGAGAGTGACTCAGGAGGCCCTCCAAGGGGACGGCACCCCCAGCCCACGTGGGCACCAAATGCTGCCTGGCTGGGTGGCGATCCTTGCTGTCCTGGGAGGGCAGGGGCCGGCCAAGCGCTGGGAGCCAAGAGAGTCCTGCAGAAGCTCTGCTCTGCGGCATCTCTTTATTTTGCTTCCTCTCTCTCTAAAATGGAGAATTTGCTAGTGAGTGATAGCCACAGCCCAACAATGGGACATTTCATGTGACTCAGTAGGGTCAAGTGGGGTATAAACTACCAATTAAGTCTCTTTAAAAACAATTTGTAACTTTTCCTGGGTGACTAGGTAGTATTCAAGTTAGCCTCATACAAAAATAGATTTTCTCTAGTCTGGCCTATGTGTTTTCCTGGTTTATTCTGCTGAAGGAGGCATCATGCTTATATCAAGTGCTGGCCTTGGAGTAAAACATAAAAATAAAAGATTCTCAAACGTGATATAAAATCAGCTAACAACCACCTGGACCCTGCACGAGGCACGGAAAAACACAAGGAAGTCAGGATGGTTTGGTTCAGTTTGATTCAGCAGTGCAGCTAAGACACTGTCTGAAGAAACAAAACTTCCCAGAGTGGCAGGAGGTGACTCCTGCTCGAGAGGGGCACTTTGAGCCTTTTATTGACACAGGAGTTGACTGGGGACCAGCAGCTCCACCCACAGGAGTGCCCAGGACTAGTGTCTTATTGTTGTTTTAAAGCAAGTCCCAAGATCCGGGTGGGGGCCTGTGGTGTATCAGCAGGTCAGTGGCTTCTCTTGCTCGTGGTCCTGTGAATGGCTGAGTGCCGCTCAGGTGGAGGCCGGGCTGTCCATGGTGGACAGCAGCTGAACCACCTGGGCCCGCTCAGCTGGGCTGATGAGCTGGCTCAGGTACACCGTGCAGTCCATGGCTACCTCGGGGTTTTCCTGGACCAGACTGTGGGGTTAGAAGAGAACGCCGGCGGTTATTCCTGCCACTGAGCCTGGTGGCCGCTAGGGGGCAGAGTCCTGGCGCAAGAACGAGGACTCTCCCTGGGTGGGCTGGAGTCCTGAGCTCCTTTCCTGCTGCGGTCACCAAGGGCATGCCAATCTCATGAGGAAGGAGGGGCTACATTTTGGGGGTCAGAATGCTTCTCAGTAGCACCATCCTTGTCGTCACTGTCTGCGTGAAGTGCCCCGACTTGCTGGAACCTCAGTTTCATGCCCCAGACAGGGTCCCATGAGCCCTGCTTCTGCCCCGCAGGGCACCCCACCACAAGGGGAAGGAGTCTCTCTGGAAAGACCGCCCAGGGGATGCGATGTGGACTCTCTAACCAGGCAAGGTCCAGCTATGACTTGAAACACACCACCATATAAAATCCGGTAAGGACGCTGCACTCGCTCGCCCCGGCCACTGCGCAGGAGATGGGGCGGGGGTGGTGGGCTGGGGTGCGCCCTCATTGCTGGGGCTGTCAGGCCCAAGGCTGTGGACCTCAGCGCAGAGGGCTGGGCCAGGGCACCCGTAACCGGTGTGGACTCTACGCGCTGCTCTAGGGTGGGGCAGCTGGAGATCAGGCCAGGCTGACCTGCCAGTCAGTCGGGGACAGGGCGGGACACTCACCTGCGGATGGTCTTGAGGATGGCGTCGCGCTTCAAGTATTTGATATTCTCCCAAATGGCCGAGTGCTGGCCGTCACCCCCTTGCCACTGCTGCTCCAGCCACTGCACCACCACCTGGTTATTGTCCCACAGGTAGGCCTGGGAGGGGCACGGGCTGCTCAGACAGGGGTTCTCTGCAGGACAGGCTGCCGGCAGTCCCCGCCCCCGCGCCCCGGGCCCACCTTGACGGCACCCTCAGTCTCCACGAACCAGCGGCGCAGCATGGACTGCAGGTGCTCATGGCTCAGCTCGCCGCTGGCCCGGAGGATCTCCCGCTTGACCCGACCCTCCAGGAGCAGCCGGCGCAGACGCCAGTACAGGAAGGTGCGCGATGTCCTCCACTCCAGCACGTCCTGCACGCACAGAAGCCAGGCCTGAGCCCCGGACCCGGGACCGGGCAGTGTAGACCAGACCCAGGCTCTGCGACGTCCCATCGCATGGGCCGGGCCGGGGGCCCCGGGAGGCTCAGGAAGGGGCAGGGCCACACTCTGCCAGCACTGCAGCAGCTCCTCCACCCCCGCGGACCAGCGCAGGTCATGCGGGGCTGAAGCCAGTTACAAAGGACAGCCCTGCGGCGAGGGAAGTGACACGGAGCACATGGGCAGGGGCTGACTCTGGGGGAGCGGGGAGACCGCGGGTACAAGGCTCCTCAAATCTTCCCCAAATCTGAGCTGGCTCAGCGGTTATAAACACATCAGACCAGTGGCTGCCAAACTTTGTGGCTTCTGGGATCTTTGGGGCATATAAAGAAATAGTGTCCCCTGACCCCGCTCCCCCATCCTCATTTGACATTCAGGTGGCTCTGCTGCACCACTCCAACACGGAGTTTTTAAAAAGCTTCCCAGGGGATCTTCAAGTCGGCCAGTCCTAAACCCTGGGACCCCAGTCTTCTTGGAGTGTGGGAACCAATGACCTTGGGACGGGTCCTTCACACCCCTGCGCCCTTACGTTGATGGCGCCCTTCTCCAGCATCCGGCCTGGCGTGTCGTGCAGCTCGGCAAACTGCACCGCCACCTGGTGGTAGACGGGGAGGAGCAGCTCCTCGCGAGTCTTCAGCTGGCCCTCCAGGTCCTTGCGATCTTTGTCCGAGAGCTCGGACATCCCTGGGGTGGGGGTGAGAGCACACAGGCCGGTCAGGACATCCCAGCAGACCAGGAAAGACAGTCACTGGAGGCTATGGTGGAGGATTTTTCTTTGAGAGGGCACAAAAATGTTTTCAGGACAAGCCTTGCCCCATGAGACCACCCCTAAAGCAGCTTGCAGATGCGGTCTCAGAAATGTGTTCACAGCTGCAAGTCAGCGTTCTACAGGCAGTTTTTGTCTGACCCCTTCCATCAGGCCCACTGTGCTTCATAACCAACCACTGGTTATTATTTTAACAAACACTGCAAAATACATTAAGGGAATATTATAACAACTATGCCAATTTGATAATGTAAATGCAACAGATTCCCTGAAACACACTTCACCAGAGCTCACCCAAGAGGAAACAGATTATGGCAATAGTCCTATATACAATAAAGAAGGTGAGTTGGTGGTTAGAAAGCTCCCACCAAAGATTTAAAGAAATAATATCAGCTCTACACAAAAGCAGAAAATTGGAGAGTTGAACCCCCAAATTATCGAGGTCAGCTTTTCCCTGATACCAAACCAAAGAAATTACATGCAAGCACACACACACACACACACACAATGCATCTTGTGAGCAGGACAGTCATAAAGACATTGCCGTAATGTGGACACCTAAGAGGGACATCTGAAGAGAACTGCTCCTAAAGACTGCCTGTGACACCCAACGACTACAGACAAACATCTGATTGGAAATTCTAAAGGGATATTTGGCTGCCATAACTCTGATTTTCCCATTGGCCCAAAGTGCTTCAGTCTTTATGCTTTGTGTGTGCTAAGAAATAAATTTCTATGGCATTAAAGGTTGAAAATCCCTAATCCAAAAATCTGAAATCCAAAATGCTCCAAAATCTGAAAATTTTTGAGCACTGACAGAGTGCCACAAATAGAAAATTCCACACCTGACCTCATAGAATGGCAATCACAGTCAAAAAGCAGATGCTCTGAAAATATTGTATAAGCCAGGTATAGTGCCACACACCTGTAATCCTAGCTGCCTAGGAGGCTGAGGCAGGAGGGTCACAAGTTCAAAGTCAGACTGGGTAACTTAGTGAAACCATGTCCAAAAAAAAAAAGGAGCTGGGATGTAGCAGAGTGGCAGAGAACTTAGAATTTGTGAGGCTCTGAGTTTTAAAAATTTGTATAAAATTACTTCCGTAATTATTCTGCAGTGTGCAGAAGGTGTATGTAAAACATAAAGGTCTTCATGTTGATGAAAATAAGAGGGCCTGTGGAGAAGGAGGAAGCTGAACTCTGCCTGTCTGGCTTTCAAAGGGAGGATTCTGTCTGTCCCCACGCTTCAGTGGATAAGCATCAGTGCTGGCTTAAAGTATACTAAAAAATCACATCATGTTTCAGCTCTCCTAACCAACAACTTATAGATCATAATAACAAAAGGATTTCATGGGTCCCCCCTCCCCAGGATGTCTCACTGGGAGTTGAAGCCTTCCTGGTCCCAATCATTTTGAGACAAGGGATACTCAACGGGCTCATGTGTATTTTTTACGTTAAGAGGATTTTGTTGAAAATGTGAATTTTTAAAAAAATCTCACAGCGACTTCAGCTGTGTTTGGCATCTCTCCACTTTACTCTGAACGTGCTAGAAACTGCCCACGAGGCGGCTTCAAGAGCCCCTTACCCAGCTGTTCCACAAGCTTCTTGGCCATGGGGTCGATCCTTCTTATGGTCTTTACCAGCTCCTTCTTTCGGAACTTAATCTCCACCGTTCCCTCTGCCTCCAGCACGCCCCCCCTGAGAAAAGAAGAAGACAGTCTGTATGGGGCACAGCGCCAAGTGACAGGAGTGGCAGCGAAGGAAGCCAGAGGCACTGCAGCTCAGCGGTCCGGGGATGGGCTCTGAGCCCTTGCTGCCCTGCTGGGTCCCCTCAGCAAAGTCCCTTGCCCTCTGGGCCTCTGTTTCTATACCTTCAGAAGGAAAGACTGAGCTAACTTGTAAGCTAATGTTTTCTGGACTCTGAAGAGCCCTTTGGATTTCACAAACATTTGCTTTTCGCCATGATAACCTAACTCTCCTACTCTCTCCGTGGGACACAGACCTTGTGCAGTTTCCTAACTTCTGCTCCCTAGAGTCAGGAACTTGTTTTGGAGTTCTTTAAAGCTGACAAAGCACAAGGAGAGCTCAGTATGGTCCTATATGAATGGTCCTCCCATTCCAACCTTCCAACTACCCCTTCATCTCTCTTGCCCCCTTCCTTTGACAGTTTGGAAGCCCCAAGGACTACAACAGGCTGCTCTGAGCTTCCTAGTGGCCAGAGAGAAAAGTTAACAGTGACCTTAGATGAGTGTTGCTCAGGATCCTCAGTCTTCCAGGAGGACTGACCTCAGCAGCCCCGTGAGGGTCAGGACCATGAAGACAGAACAGGCATGGCTCATCTGCCCCCGTGCCCCAACACCCGACAAAATGCCTGGCACACGGTACTCAGTAAGTGTCCACTGAGTTAATAAATGAAGGACAGAGTGAACATAGGAACCATGAGCCTAAGTTTGGGGCAGAACTACTACTGAGGCCTTCGCACCGGACACGGAGTGCAGCAGTGCTCCCTGAGAAGGCGCCAATCAGTGTGCCGCAGCCATTGCTGTCCTCTCCCCTTCCAGAAGAGTGCCCGGGATACATCCCCCCTCAAGAAAGTGCCAAGGGCTCTCTCCTGTGAAGAACCAGCATTCGGGTTAGGGTCAAGGTTACAGGTCAGAGTCAGATTTTAGATTCAGGAGTATGTTAAATACTAAGGTATTCGTTCCACCATCTGTTCAGTTGGTATTTCCTGACTGATAGTCCAGCACTGTGCTGGGCCCTGGTTTATAAACAAGACTCAGAGACTGAGGACATCAGGGACTGGGGAGAGCAGCTTGCCTGACATGGGCAAGGCCCTGGCTCGCAGCTCTAGAACCACCACCAAGAAAAAAAAGATCTACAACATACCACATTTTCCTTTTTATCCTGGCCCCCAGTGAGCCCAGGTGATCCCCTGCCCCGCCTTTTTATTTTTGCAAGACTGAGGCTTGAACCCAGTGATTCATCATGCTATTGTGTTTGCCTGAAAATAAGACCTAACTGGAAAATTATCATTCTTTTTTTTTCTTTTGGTTTTTCTCCGGTACCGGGAACCGAACTCACGACCGTGCGCTTGCCAGGCAGGTGCTTTGCCGCTGAGCTAAATCCCCAGCCCCGAAAATTATCATTCTTGAAATGCCAGCCCCAAGCCCCTTGCCTTACCTGCCATCACTGAGTAGCCACTGAGCAAGAGAATAGTTAGGTATGCTCTTCTGCATGAAGCTGGCCGTTGCCATGGTTACAAACAGCGGTTATTTTCTGGTTAGGTCTTTTACTGAGGGAAACACGGTGGGTGGGCAAGTGTTCTCCCACTGAGCTCCACCCTTGACCCTTTTTAATTTTTCTTTTGAGGTTGGGTCTCACTAGGTTGGCCAGGCTGACCTTGAATTCAAGATCCTCATACCTCAGGCTCCTGAGTAGCCTGGTTGCTCTTTATTTATTTTTTAATTGGACGTTTTTGTTTGTGTATGTGGTCCTGGAGCTCGAACCCAGGGAACACTAAGCTGTATCACCAGTACTTTTCATTTTTTAATTTTGAGACAAGGTCTTACTAAATTGCCAAGTCTAGTCTCAAACTTGTGACCCTCCAACTGCAGGTAGCTGGGGTCACACGCATATGCCACTACAAGTGAGTAACTTTTTTGGGGGGGTGAGTATTGATACTGTTGTCCAGGCTGTTTCAAATTCATCTCGATCTTGCCCCAGCCTCCTTGGTACTGGGCATGTACCACGGTGCCTATTTATCTTTTCTTTTGCAGATTCTTTGGGAAGGAGGTGAGTGTAAGTTCTGGAAGAAGATACAGTTCCTCCACCACTTCCTCGCACCAGCCCCTAACTCTGCTGAGAAATTCCTATAGCAAAGGAGGCTCTCTGTCCAGGAAGTGCTGACTGCCCCGGTGGTCCCCAGCCAGGGGCTCAGGGGTGACAAGTGCAGCAACGTGCCCACCTGCTCTCTTTGTCCGCATACATCTCTATGCACAGGGGGTTGATGGTGGTGTCCAGGACCACCCAAGAGCCCCCGCGGAGCTCCGAGTAGGGTGGGAGGTAGATCAGGATGGGCTGTTTGTACTGCTGGAGGCCGTCCACAATGTAGGATCCAAATTTCAGCACCTGCTCATACATGTCTGCAAAGCAAGACAGCAGTCTGGTAAGGGGACTTTAGGTCCCCATTTGTGCACACACAAAACCACAGCCTCGGCTGTCCTGGGCTGTGAGAGAGCCTGTTTGTCTGGGAGACTTGGAGGGCACTGGGGACTGGCTCAGGTACAGACTGTTCCCTAAGTGGCCGCGGGACCTTGGACAGGTCACTCGCCTGGCACGGGCCAATGTCCTCATCTGTAAAGGGAAGCATAGGAAGTCACCCACTTCTAAGATCCCGTCCATCTCAGACTGTATGGCCTCCCTCATGACTGTCCCCACCGGTCACATGTTTCAGGCACACAATCCCTCCTGGACCAGGACCTGGGCCCTCATCTCCCACCAAGATCCATCCTCCCTGTGCCTGGCCCCCATGTGACAACAATGCAGTGACCTCATCAACTGCAAGAGCGCCATGTGCCACGGCTCAGCGCACCGGTTCCTCCCGGGGCCCTCGGAGGTTGGTACCACTCTCATCCTCTTTCACGAAGGACGGAAACGACGGCTCAGAGAGGTCAGCCTGCCAGCAAGGACGCACAGCGCATCTGCCTGCCTCCCACCCCTCGCCTGCCTTGGCACCCACGGAGAGCCACCATCTCTCCCGACATGCTCGGTGGCTTTACACGGCCCTTATACAATTCTAGGGTCACCTGAGGCACCGTCAGCCCCAAGGGATGCAGAGAGGCACCCGTCCTCCTCAGCTTACCGTGAGGGAGGTGACTGCCCCGGTCACTGGGGAGCTCCTGAGGTCAAACCCCTGTCATGCTACTCAGAATGTGACCTCCAGGAAGTCACGCTGCCTCCACTGCTCAGCCCCTCATCTACAATTCTGGGTGGGGTCCCTAGAACGGCCTCCTGTCCTCAGGTTGGGGAGAGGCCCAACATTATAAGGTGACAACGGGAGCGAGCCGAAAACTGGCATCAGCACGCAAAGGGACACAGGCAGAGTCAGCCTCACCTTTCATGCCCCCAGAGAAGCCCCTCCAGTTGGCAAAGATCATCAGGGGCAGCTTCTCCCGGCTGAAGTCCTTGATGGCCTGGGCCGTCTTGTAGGCAGAGTCAGAGAACCACACCTGGCCTGCCTGCTGGATTATCTGCGACACAGAGCCACCTGGATCAGACGGCAGCCCCAGACCTAGGGACAGTGCCACAGCCTCACCCCAGAGGACAGGCCATGTGAGCCCTTCTGGCACCAGTGCCAGAGCCGGGCTCCCAACGAGGGCCTGAAGCTCGCTGCTCAGGCCCAAGGGGAACCCTCTCCCTGCAGCCCGGGGAGGTTCCCAGGGTCTGCATGCACTGGCCGAGGGGGCGCCAAGCTACTCAAGGCCAAAACGCGCCTCTGCAAAGCTGACCCAGGACCCACTCCCAATCTCTGAGACAGCAGCAAGGCAGGGTGGAAGGCAGAGGGGGTTGTGGACCTTTATCACCGGGTAGGAAGAAGCAGACCGCGCAGAACGTTATCCATCCAGTCGGGGGAGCCAGAGGGGCAGGCAGAGCCTGCCAGGTCCCTACCAAGGCCACTGCTTCTCCACCAAAGGACTGGGGAAGGGATGTGCCACAGCACCAGAACCCATCCTGTTGGCAGGGCAGCTAAACCAGCAGCTAGGGCTCCCGGGCCCTCACCTTGGCCTCGGAATCCAGGTTGGCAGGGTCGGCTGGGATTACCACCTCCACGCTCCGAGTTTCCGCGGCAATCACGCCCACAGGGATGCCTCCCAGCCTGGAAGGTGAGGACATTGGCGCTGGGCGCTAGGCGCTGGGCGGCACCCGGGTGGATGGTGGGGACAGTAGGGTCTGTCCAGCCCAGGTTGCAGGGGGTGCTGGGTGTGGGGCTGAGGGTGTGTGGAGGGGAGCCCTGCTCTGACAGTTACACTACTGAAAGGCAAGGGAATAGCTCCCAAGTGACAAGAGCTTCCCACGTTGGCAGAGCACTGATGCCTCCGCAGGGGGAGAGCTGGGCAGTGCAGGGGCTGGAGCAGCAGGCGCCTCCAGGACTTTCCATGTGGAGGCCAAGGTCTCTGTCCAACAAGCTGCGAGCTGCGCACGCGACCGAGCAGTGAGCCGCAGCCAGTAAATGTGAGGGGTTGGACAGGCTGTTCTCTTTCCCTTACACTCATTCCATTTTTTTTGCAGTGCTGTGGATGACCTAGGGCCTCATGCAGGCCGGGCAAATGCTCTGCCACCGCGCCACCCCCAACCCTAAATTTCCACTGCGATCGTCACATGGGTCCTGTAGTTGCCACACTGCACAGCATGGACGTGGGCAGGGCACACGTGGAAAGGCCAAGAGACGCCGAGCCTGGTGGAGACTCAGCTCAGGGACAGCATGACATCAGTAACTGTCACCACAGCCTGCTAGCCAGCTCCCTATTGTGTGTGCCACCAGCCTGTTGCTGTCTGTCTGAATAATCCTATGAGGCGGGTGTGAGTTTCTGTCCGTACACAAAGGCAGGGCTTCCGCTAGAAGGAAGAAAAATCTGAATCTCACGTTCTTATTAAACAAGGTTTTAAAAATGGAGAAAGCATCTTGGTGCCAATAGTATGTGTAGGAGTTTAATGCTTATTACTCAGGAAGTAGATGATGGTTGCAGCCACTGTAACTCAATGAGGTCCTAAGTGCTTAACAGTAATTCTTTGGGGGTAGAGTTATTACACCCATTTTACAGATGAGGACACAGAGGCCCAGAGAGGATGAAGGACAGAGCTGGGGCTAGATCTCGGGTTCAACTCCAGCACCCGCACCTACAGCTATGATGCTGTGCCAGGAATCTGAGCAGGGATTTGTCAGGCACAGCTTTGGGCTCACTGTAAGAGAAGAACTTTCTGGCAGCTGGAGCCTTAGAAAAATTGAGGGTTACATTGCCAAAGAGTGAGCTCTTCCGCTCTGGAAGTACTGAAGCAACTAAGCCTTCTACTAGTAGTGGAGCACAATACGGCACCTGCAATGGAAATCCTGTTGTTCAATGCCTGTAGTTTTCTGAGCAGGCAACCAGGGCCACCTTCTGAGTCCCAAAGGGGCTAGAGAGTGACACTAAGGTAAGCGTCCCTGCTCAGCAGTAGTTGGCTGAGAACCCACCTAAGACCATAGAGAGACAAGTTCAGACTTCATAAAGTGGTTCATCATCCAGAAAAACCTTTCCCAACTGGTTTTTGCTTTCAGGAAATCCTGGGGCTGAGGATAAAATGGCCCTGGTAGCCCCGGGGTTTAGTGCCAGAGAGTCTCCATGCCCGGTGAAGCCCGGCGTGTGTGGCCTGCTCCCATCTTCATGGTTACCTGGCTCGTCCCACCACCACGGTCGGGGCCCAGGGTGCCATGATTTCCTTGAAACTGCCCCGGTCGAAGAAGCCGCTCTCCCAGGTCCCCTTCAGAGCTGTGGGGAGAAGGCAGAGGCCCAGGTTGGGAGGTGGATGAGGTCCCCAGCATCCACATGGCTGGGGGATCACCCTAACGACAAGCTGACTCAGACCTTGCGGCCCTAATATTCTTTTCCCTTTACAATCATGCAGATCCTAACCTCTCACTCAAAACAAAGCAAACAAAGAACATGGCTGCAAAAGCTGTATCTAGTCAGAAATTCAGTCCACAGAGCATCCGCCTCCTTTCAGCTGCCTGTCAAGGCCAGGCACTCTAAGATCTGAGTCATGGTCCTGCTGCCTCTCCCAAGAGACAGGAGAGCCGGCGGATGTCTCCCACAAGATGGGACTTCAGAAAGGGACCATCTGCCCCAACACCTCATCTGGGCCTGTGGGCTGCAGAGTAGTAGGCCCTGAATTGGGAAGAAAGTTTTCAACTTCCCGGAGAGGTGGAATATGAGGATGTCAACCGCAGCTATGGCTGGAGGGGACATGGTAACTGAAATCCACAGCCCAGTGTAAATGTCTCTGGCTATGCAAGGGAGAGAAAAGGCGAGCAGCAGGCAGTGTCTCGAGCTACAGGTGTGGAGGTGGCAAAGGAATCGGCCTCTCCAGCACTGGCCTCGTGGCTGGCCCCACACCATGGAGAAAGTTGTTGGTAAGATGCCCATTTTCCAACTGAGATAGAGGCCACCCCACTGAGTGCACCCAGGTAGGAGAAGCCCAGGGCAATGGGAAGCGGGAGAAGCAAGTCATGGACACTCTTGCTGGCCAGGGGCTGCCACAGTCCTGAGGGTCATGTCTCCTGGAGGAGCTGCCTGATGCCTACAGCAGCAGCACATGCAGTTCCAGACGAGATGTGACAGGGTAGCTCAGCTTTTCTGTCTGTTCATCCTGCTCAGATGTCATAACACATCTCCGGGAAACAAACCCATCCCTTTCAGAGGAGAGCAGAGAGAGAACGTGTTCACAGTGCTTGTACGTGGAAGAGGCCAAGGTGCCCGTCCTGGTAAACTCACAGTGTCTCCTTGCAAAGGTTTGGCCAAACGGAAGCCGAGAAGGAAGGAGGGCTGGAAACTTTAACAAATACTTTGCTGAACTGAACACTATTGTGTCTTAAATACTTGCACTAAAATGTGCACTGCAAGGCCAGGAAATTTTACAATATTTTTTCTTTACAATATGCTCAGTAGTATGTTTACCTCTTAATGAAAAGAATTGTCAGTGCATTATCAATGTTCACTGTTACATCCCTGTACAGAAATTATGATTTTGTGATCACAGTAATAAAATGTTATTCCTTGTAGAAAAACAAACAAACAAACAAACAAACATTCTGGCACATTTCCCACCTATGTGACCAGGACCTCACCTCTGTCTGTTAGCTCCAGAAACTGGAACTGTCTGCAACCCTTGCTGGTCAATGGCCCAGGAAGGGCACAGACTAAAATCTCTATCCCCGCTCTCTCTCCCTGCATTTGAGCTCAGGTATACCCTTCTGGACTATGGGATCGAAAGACAATATCTCTTTCTAAGTAGTCCTTCATCTCAGACCTAGAAAAGCAGCCTAAGTCTCCCATCCCCAACAACACACATGAGCACTTACTTGGGTGAGGTCTTCCTGCAAGCATCCACCGAGGGTCATAGGGAGCTCTGGAGGGGAAAAACTCAACTTCTCTGTCAATGGGGTCAGTGGCTGTGATGATAGGGAGTGGGCTGTGAATATCCTAGAAGACAAAGCCAGGTATCCAACTCAGTCTCCAGTGTTTGTCAGTTAGACCTATGATCTGTTTGCACATTTTTCTCCACTATGATTATGCCCGGTTATGCAGCGATATCCTCTATGTTAGCAATTATGTTATGTCTTAAATCTTACGTTAGCAATACCCTAAAATAGTTTCTGAGGCCCTTGTTCTGGTTGGAAAATGTCAGACGAAGACAGGCTACCCATGGAATCTCCTGAACTCTAGTTTTTTTCAAGTCCCGAGTGCACTCAGGGGTCAGGTACATTCAATGAAGGTGGGATGTGAAAGAAAGTCTTAAAGAATCGCCACCGTTCCAGTACCAGGAATCGAACTCACGACCTTGTGCTTGCTAGACAGGCGCTGTGCCGCTGAGCTAAATCCTCAGCCCCTTCGCCACCGTTCTATAAGGGCAAATAAAACATGTCTTGAAAGAAAGAAAAAGAAGAGACTGACTACAGAGAGCAGCAGCAGGGGCCATGCAGATGGAAAAAGGAGCACTCAGGAATGTGGTGACATTCGCTATGTTTTAACTTGGGGTTCTTAGCAGAAGGTCTGGGATAGGCTGGACACTAGAAACCTAGGAACCAACTTTTCAGAAATAAATACAATGGAGAATAAGAACGTCACTTATTTGCATAGAACGTTAGCCAGAAACCATGTTCACGCTTACCGACCTCTTACACTGCTGTCCAGTGGACCCTCTGTGAACCAGGTAGGACAAACGTGATCCCTACTGGCCACTGAAGAGACTGAGACTGAGACATCTGTCTAGTTACTAGCTAGTGAAAGAATCTGCACTGAACTAACCAGGACAATCAGTAGCAGCCCTAGGTGAGCTCTAAACATCATTTCACTTCATCGTCATGGCAACACCATAGGAGCTACTATTATCCACATTTCACAGATGAGGAAAGTGAGGCTCAGAAAGATCAAGATATTGTCCCGGGATCACACTGTTACTGGGAGGAAGCCGGGAGTCAGATCCAGACTGACTATGAAGGTTGAGGTTCTCTATTGTCCAATGTTGCCCTTTTTATCCTTTTGACAAGATCAACCGATGGCTTTCTCTTTTAAGAATGGCATCCAGATCACCCAAAAAGCAAGAATGGCTAGTCCAGAGCCAGGTGTCAGAGAGGAGAGGAGGAAGGAGCAGAACCAGTCCTGACCACATTTACAGTGCCCCCCTGACCCCCTCCCACCCCAGCCGAGGTGACAAGGACACAATTAACAAATGAACTCGGCAACAGAGTCCCCCGGGCTCGAAACTGTAGCGGGGACAGTGCACCTTTGGTATGTAGGACAGCCACTCCAGGATGGTGTACACGCCCTCAAAGTCGTCCGGGACAGTGACATGGGTGACGCCGTTGTAGTGCATGATCTGCACACCGCCCAGCTGGTTGTTGGACGTGTAGACCTCTCTTCCCAGGACCTGCTTTGATACAACACGGTTAGCAAATCCTGCCCAGTTCGAGGTCATTCCACTGTTGGAAATCAGCTCACTCAGTGGCTGCGTGCCAGAATCACCTGGGAACGTTTGAGAATCCTGGCACCCAGGCTGCACCCAGACCGACCACATGAGAACCATTAGGTGTTGTTGGTTTTAAATTTCTAGGTACTTCCAATACACAGCCCAAGCTGAGAATCAGTGATATAGCAGCTGACAACTTCGGCAATCTGGAAAGTTCTGAGGGCCCGAGAATGTGCATCTCTGACAAGTCCTCAGGTGACACGGACATAACTGGTGAAAGACTTATCACCCTCAGTGGGCTTCCAACAGATATTAAAAATTAAGACTCAACTGAGTGGGGTGCTGCAAACCTAGAATCCCAGCACTCTGGGAGGCTGAGGCAGGAAGATTACAAGTTTGAGCAGAGTTCAGGAAACTCAACGACTTAGTAAGACCCTATCTCAATTTTTTTTTTTAAAAAGGGCTGAGGATGTGACCCAGTGCAAAGGCCCTGGGTTCAATCACCAGCACCATAAAAGAAATAAGTAAATAAAAATTAAATAAAAGTGGAAACTTTATAGCAACATAGGCGATGTTTTAGCACAAAAGGAAAAAAAATATACTGAGTAAACCATGGGAAAATGCAATGTAGGAGGGGATGACACCAAAATCACAGAAGCAAAAACTACTTTGGGGGAGGCTTCCTAGTTTTCTGCAAAGTACGATGCCACTTTGATAATGCTGTTAAAATGTGAGAGAGTTAATTACACTCAAAGAGCTTAAAACTTATTTTATTGTGGCTCATAAAGAGCCCAGGTAACTGCAAATAGGAAAAGCAGCTTCTACATCAGTAGGAGTGAAACTGATTTCATATTGGGAAAAATCCGCCCTCAGACCCCAGTGCTTAAAGGATCCCCAGCCCCGACAAATCCTCCCAGGGGCCCGCTCTTGGTCACCTTGTTCAGAGCACGCGCTCCCGTGAGTATGATGTGGGAGTTTTCCACCTGGATCACCCGCTGGCCCAACCTCACCAGATAGGCCCCGATTCCAATGGAGCGGCAGGTCACCTGTGGAGACAGGGAACTTTCTGAATTCCATGAATGGAAGGTCTCTCGGTCAAAGGAGGCTGAAGTTAGGGACAGACAGCACAGCCAAAGCCACTTGTTGGAACCTGGCTGCTACTATTACTTGGACCCTAAGTGACCCCTCAAGACCCACCTTTTGCAGGCTCAGTCCCCAGCTTGGCGTTATTGGGAGTGGGCGAAACGTTAAGAGGTGGGAGCTAGTAGAAGGTCCTTAGTCACTGGGGTGTGTCCTTGAACAGGACCTGGCCCTCCTGCGTGTGCTCTCTCTCCCTCTCTGGCTTCCTGGTCATGAGGTGATTTATTTTGTTCCACCGTGTTCTCTTGCTCTGCTGTTCTTTCTTTTCACAGACCCAGAGCAATAAGGCTATTGCTTTGGCTCCAAACCCTTGAGCCAAAATAAACTTTTCTCTTTACCAGCTGGTTACCTCGGGTGTTTATTATAGTGACGGAAAGCCGAACAACACCGTTTCCTATTTTTAAAAAAAATCATGGCTAACAAATACGATGGTTGCAAAGGCAAACAGCACATCCTGAATGTTTGGCCTCTTAGAGGCTTGTGTGTAGTTCCTCAGAGCTCAGTCACGTTAGAGAAACCACAGCTTGTTACACAAACAAAAGCATACCTAGGAGTGCATGTAAAAACTGGTGAAATCCAAGTAAGGGCTATGCCATGTGGACAGTATTGTGCCAACACTGACTTCCTGGCTTGGGTCTTGCTTAGGTAAGATGCTGTCATGGGGAGGCTGGACCTGGCAGTTCTCCGCACTATCTTATAAATTCTGGTGGGCCCTAAACTATTTCAGAAGTAAAAGTCACATATGCCACATACGTGTGTAGAAAACAGGCTGAAAAAAGACACTGAGGCCTAATAACTCCCATCCTGGAGACCGAAGATTCAACAGGGCATGTAAAAAATAAGGCCTTGGATGCCAGTTTATGATTAAAGAATACCATTACCGCTGCTGTTACTCGACATATAACATCTGGGGAAGGTTATGGGGGTGGGCAGGGGAATACTCATACCACGTAAAATCACATAAAAATTCTTCCACTTGACACCTACAAATAAGAGACTAGGCCCTGATGTAAACTAACCAGCTATAAAAGGAGAGTTGTGAGATAACGGTTAACCCTGAAACTAAACTGGATTCCGATCATATTAGAAAAAGCTGGTGATTTTCTTGGGTATGTTAAAATAATTGCAGGTATATAAAAAAGGGGGGAGCAGAAATGCAGGGCCCAGTGGCGCATGCTTATAATCCCAGCTACTTGGGAGGATGAGGCAGAGGGATGCAAGTTCTAGGCCAGCATGAGCAACTTCATGAGCCCTGTCTTAATTTAAACAGAGAGAGAAAAAAAGGTTGAGGGTGTAACTCAGAGGTACAGAACCCCTGGGTTCAGTCAATCCCCAGGACCACAAAAATTTATTAAAGGTCCACCGAAAGAATTAGTGGGTGAAAAGACCCAATCAAGCAGTGGCTTTAAAATACTGTAAAACAGAGGGATTGAGAAATAGAAAGGGTCAGCTGTTGACAGATGGTGATGCTGTGTAACTGGCACATAGGGCTCAGTAGTAATTCTCTCTACTTCGGTGACTATTTTAAAGTTTCCATAATAGAAAATTGAAAAAGGAAAGACAATGGGAGAGGACTTACCATACTGATGGTGACTATCTCATCATAAGCCAAGGAGGACTCCCTGGCAATCATGCCCGAGCCCTTGACATTCTCCACACCCAGGCCGTCCTCTTTCCCAATGATGTCTAAGATGACATACCTGCGAAAAGCAAGTGCACATTAAAGACCCAGCGCTGACCCCAACAAATCACGGCAGACGAGCATCCCATGGACCAAGGCAGGGGAGACGTGCAAGGGAATATATCAGCCAGAGCAGAAATGGAAGCAGGTGTCCAAAGCAAGGCATAGTGGCACACATCTGTAATCCCAGCGCTCTGGGAGGCAGAGGCAGGAGGATAGCAAGTTTGAGTCCAGCCCAGGTAACTAGCAACTTAGTGAAACCCCTTCTCAAAAGAAAAAAAATTTTAAAAAGGGCTGAGGATGTAGCTTAGTGTAAAGGCCAGAAAAAAAAAAAAAAAAAAGCAAGCCAGCAGGAGTCCAAGACCCTCATTTGCACTGGTGCTCAAATCCCTTAAAGGTGAAGTACAACATCAGCTATGACCACCCTTTTCCCAGCCATAGGTGTCTGCCTATCCAAATGCTGGCTCAGTGAAATGTTACCCTTGCCAAAGTGACCTAGACCAGCCTCCCGTCTACAAAGAGATGAGGTAGACAAGGGGAAGCCATTTACTTCATGACCAGTCACTCAATCATGATCCCATGGCCACATTAAGTAGGAGAAACACTGTCCAAATGAATCCCTGTTAAAAATTCACAAGGCCTTATTATGCGTTACAGACTCTCAGAAAACCTGCAGGAAGGGTGCTTGTGAGATTTCATTTAACCTGGTGTTTCCCAAACATATTGGACTGTGGAAATTAAAAAGATAATATTTCCCTCATATCAGTAACACTCCAGAAAAATCACATCTGGAAAATTCTAATTGGGTTGATCCCATTAAGAAAGACATGATTGGCCCTGGAGAAAACATTGCAGAGCTTTTGACATCACCAGAGAACATCACCAGAGTCCTGTGTCTCACCCTCCTGACCTTCCTGAGTTGCCAAATGACTGCTGCATCGGTTTGGATAGTTTGGTTGTAAAAAGGGAGCCTGTAGCTCCTGGGACTTCAGGAGAATCCATTCCACTTCTCCACCAATTGTGAGAAAAGGGTGACTTATTTTTGGATGACCTGGGTAGGTTCACCCTGGGAAATATCCCAAATGGTTGTCACCAGTGTCCCAAATGGAAGCTCACATGTAGTTGTGCACACCTGCAATCCCAGCCACTTGGCAGGCTGAGGCAGGATTGACAACTTCAAGGACAGCCCTAGGCAAGTTAGTGAGATCTAATCTCAAAATAAAATTGCAGATAAAAGGGTTAGGGATGTAGCTCAGCAGCTGAGCTCTTGCCTAGCATGCATGAGGCTGTGGGTTCTTTGCATAGTAGTGGACCCTTGGCTTACAAACTCAATTCGTTCCTGAGGACTGGTCGTAACTCAGGTTGTCAATTGAAGGCTCAGGCTCCTCTACACAGCCTTCAAAGTCTCTCTCCCATATACAGGCAGATCTCAGTGTCCTTAGAGAGACACTGGCCCAGGATTTCTCAATTAAGCCCATCAGGAAAGGATGCTGTAACGTTCCTTCCAGAACTCTTTAAGGGTTAGATCTGTACTGAGACCATGTGGAAGCACAAGCAGCCAGCATTCGGGTCATATATTAAAGACTTTGGTCGTAAGTTAAAATTCTGGTCATAACCCAAGTTGTTCGTATGTCAGGCTGGTTATAACTCGAGGGTCCACTGTACTGCCAAAAAAAGAATGAAGCTCAGGGCTCCTATTGTACAAACACCACCCCTTTTTGGGGGCAAAAAGACAAGAGTCCACAGTACAGGCTGAAATTAACCAGGGACACCATCAAGGCACTACCTGAAAAGTCATTTACCTGGATTCTCCTCCTTCCTCAATGTGTTTGCAGTGCACAGAGTTCAGGGAGCTGATTCTGGTGTAGTCTTGGGGCGTCAGGTACAAGTATTTAAATCCCTTAAAAAATACATGTCAGTGAGTAGCCTATGAACGCAGTTCCCAGCTACTGTCTTTTTGAAAAAAATGTCAACACTGTCAGGTGGATAGTAATAACGTGCTGATACCATGTTAATGTGCCACTGTCAGCAACAAATACTCCCACACAGCTACAGACAGAACGTCTGCCCTGAGCTCACACCTTCTACTCATCATTATAACACAACCTCATGCTCGTCCTGGTCTCTCCGCTTCAGCATTTCTCAATCTTTTCATCATCATTCCACTAAGGAATTTTTTTCCTTATTGCTAGCAGCCCCACGTAAAATTTTAATACTAAAGATTGTTATGGTTTGTGTCTGCATGTCCCCTCAAATCCTCATGCAGTCATGGGGCGGGCTTCTAGAGTTTAGGATTGATTCATGGTCCAGTGTTGGGATTGTGATGGGAGTGCTACACCTGCCCTGGGGTGGGTAGTTTGCATACAATATAAGGGAAGGAAAGAGGCTGCTTGCTGCCCATCCTCCCTTTTGCCCTTGTTGGTTTGCTGTCTTCCATGAACGGTTGCCCTCTGCCATGTGCCACCCTGCCTTGGAGCCACCCGTGGATGGACTGAAACCTCCATAGACTGTGAGCTAAATAATCCTTTCCTTCCTTCATTTTGGGCATTGGGTATTTTGTCT